CACATATATATGACTGACGCATGTTACAGGTAAGAACAAATTATTCTCACCCAAGCACTAAGATCATAGAGCACGTGATCCTGTTCTACTTCACACTGTCTCTCAAAATGGTTGTGAGGATTAAATGAGACATTAAGTGAGGTAAGGACTTTACAAACGGGTTCGGCAAAAACAGAATTATGGGTGGTACTTGGGGTTTAGCTTCATGATCCATGTAAAAGTTTTCTTTATAGGCACCATTGAGTCTTCGATTACAGTTTCATTTAATGTTTTCCCCTGTAGAAATAGAAGTCTTTCCAAATCAAAGTGTAACAATTGCCCTCTCTAAACAAAGAGCACAAATAATTTTGGAATACTTTTTTTTTTTTTAAAGTGGCACCTCTGCACTGACCTTCAGCTGTTATCCATTGCTGATCTTTCCACCCAAAAGTAGGTAGAAGACAACTTTCTTCTGCAATCAGAATCTATTCTTAGCATCAGAAACTTCCAAGGACCATGTACCCATCTTCTCCCCACCCCTCATCTCAGTACGTCCACCCCATTCCACTGTCATGGAACCCAGACTCATTGTCCCTGTCAGGGGAGAAATCCATCCATAATACTGAAGTGTTGAAGACAGATGCCTTCCCTTGGGCTAGGAGAAGAGAATCTTGACTTTTAAAAGAGGAGGAGGAACCATAGAACTCCAGAGACCTTCTGACTTCACACTGTCCCCAACAGTTTGGAGAAAGCTGCCAATCTTCTTCTAAATCTTTGGGTCCCTCTGTAGTTGCCCCCACCAATTCTCATGTTCTGGACTCTCTCTTCCTATCTCCCTGTGGAAAAGAGCACAGCCTCATAGATTCTGCCCTCCTCATTTTGGGAGAAAGCAAGCACACAGCCTCTCAGAGGTCTTCTCAGGACTTGTAAAGCTAACCCTAGAAGGAGAAAGGTGGAAGGTGACAAACACTGAGAAACTTTGAATACATATGAAGTCTGAAAAGCTCCAGAACAAGTATTCTTCCTAAATACGAAAAGGGCTTGGCTGATCTCCTTATTTTGGAACAAGCCAAGCCCTACGTTGTGTCTCATTTCCAGCCCCTGTTGACTTCACCCTCCTGAGCCATTGAAGTCCAGTAGAGGGCGACAAAGATACACCTAGATGGTAAGAGGAGCCTTGGCTAGAGACACCACCACAAAGGGGCGGTATCTGTTGCTCTATGGCCTGTCTCTCTGCCCCTCCTTCTATCAGTCTAGTTCATTCCCAATTCTCACTTTACTTAGATCATATATTTTTTTAAAGATTTTATTTATTTATCTGACAGAGAGAGACAGAGCGAGAGAGGGAACACAAGCAGGGGAGGTGGGAGAGGGAGAAGCAGGCCTCCCGCGGAGCAGGGAGCCCGATGCGGGGCTCGATCCCAGGACCCTGGGATCATGACCTGAGCCAAAGGCAGACGCTTAACGACTGAGCCACCTAGGCGCCCCTTACTTAGATCATATTAAAACTTGGTATTTCCTAAATGATGCAGCAGCTCAATAAAGAGGGGAAATGTTAACTAAAGGTGTCTTTAAACAGCTAGAGAAATCATTTGAGTATTTTAGATCACAGTTTACACCAAAACAAAATACTGAAGATGAATTAAAGAGTGAAATTTAAAATATATCAAACAATAGAAGACAATAAAATAGAATATTTACCAAGACCTAGAAGGGCCAAGAACTGTTTAAAACTTAGAAGCAAAGAAAAATACCAAGAGTTGACTATAAAAACTAAAACTTCTGTCACTTAAAAATCAGGGTAAACAGGGGTACTTGGGTGGCTCAGTGGGTTAAGCATCTGCCTTTGGCTGGGGTCATGATCCCAGGGTCTGGGGATTGAGGAATCGAACCCCTCCTCAGCGGGGAGTCTGCTTCTGCCCCTCCCTCTGCCCCTCTCCCCATCTCCCTGCTTGTGCTCTCTGCTCTCTCTCTTTCTCATAAATAAATAAATAAAATATTTTTTAAAAAATCAGGGTAAACAAAGGAATAATCTACAGAATAATCACCAGAGAAAATAGTCATGGTGTATATGATAAAGTGTCCGTATAAAGAGCTCACACAAATTGATTCAAAAGCACATTGTATCCCTAATAAATTAAGCGACAAAAACACTAATGGATGTATCATGAATGAAGAAATTAAGTTAGGAAATAGGCCTTTAATAAAATGTACAACTCACTATTGATCAAAGTATAAAGGTGCCATTTCTTTTGTTCACTAAGATAACAACAGCCAAAATAGGTATTTTTTAATTTTGCTTGTGAGAGTAGCTAATAGGGTCTTTTACACACACTAACACACTACCTAGTAACAGTGTAACAAACTACAGTTTGGAAATACGTATCAAGAACCTTAAAAATGGGGGTGCCTGGGTGGCTCAGTCAGTTAAGCGTCTGTCTTTGGCTCAGTTCATGGTCCCAGGGTCCTGGGATCGAGCCCCACATCGGGCTCCCTGCTCGGCGGGGAGCCTGCTTCTCCCTCTCCTACTCCCTCTGCTTGTGTTCCCTCTCTTGCTGTCTCTCTCTGTCAAATAAATAAATAAAATCTTCTTTTTTTTTTTTTAAAAAAGAACCTTAAAAATGTTCATACATTTGACCCAGTGATTTTACTTCTGGGAATATGTCATTACAGAATATAAGTTGGGAAGCTATATAACCAAGGATATTTGTTATGGATTTTTTTTTAAAGATTTTACTTTTATTTATTTTGACAGAGAGAGAGAGAGAGAGAACACAAGCAGGGGGAGTGGCAGGCAGAGGGAGAAGCAGGCTTCCCGCGGAGCAGGGAGCCCGATGCGGGGCTCGATCCCAGGACCCTGGGATCATGACCTGAGCCGAAGGCAGATGCTTAACCGACTGAGCCACCTAGGCATCCCTTAGTTATGGATTTTAAGATAATACTTTAAAGTGGAAGAAAGCTAAAATTTCAACAAAATAGAAATGGTTAAGTATATTTTGACTATTCCACTTGATGAACTAGCACACACACATTTAAAATACTGATTATGAGAACTAGAAAGTGACAAGGCAAAAACAGGGGAATAAAATTTCTATGCAAAGTGTGTTTTTCATTATGTTTAAAAATAAGCAGAGAAAGCCTTGAGACTGGGGATCCTTTTGTTTTCTATAGTTTCCAAAGTGTTCATGTTACTAATTTTATTGAATACATGTGTGTGTTTGTGTATCTATATCTACATCTATATATATATATGAAAGATGAACATATATGAACGAATGAATGAATGAATGAATGAGTTGGTTGCGTCCCATTGAGAGGGCACTATAGAGCCCAGGTGATGGGGCATAGAGGTGAGATTCTAGACACCGTGCACATTTTGGAGGTAAAATTGCCAATCAGAGGCTTTCCTGCATCCCTCACAGAGGAGCTGTCTTCTGAAGCCAAACCCAATTCTAGAGACTTTGCATAACTCTTGAGAGACAAGCAGACTGATGAAAAATAGTGAGTCTTTGGAGTAAAAAAAATACACATGGACCGTGTTTAACTCAGAGTCAGGTTCATGGGATTAAGCACCTTTCAAAGCCCACAGAAGGTTTCAGTGATGCCTGTGATCCAGGATCCTAGGACCTATTCCCCTTTCTGTGGCGTTTTCTCTCAACTCCCTGGTGACAGAGGGTTGAGGAGACTAAGATTCTGGCAATAAAGAGGTGGGGGACTAAGATCACCCTAATATCAAAGGCAGAAGCTGGGAGGGGACCAGTACATATATATATATATATATATATATATAAAGAACCCTCTATATAAAGAACCAGGGGGATCAGGAGGAACAGTTCTGACACAGAATGTCCCCGCCCACCTGTGCCACTTGAGCTTTTTGCTGGGGCTCCCAGAATACATATTTCTAATATCCTCCCCTCTCCAGCCTTCTTTCCCTCTTCCTCTCTCCTTTTCTTCCTCCCTCCCTCCTTTCCTCCTCTCTCTGGCCCTCTTGCTCTTTCTTTTCTCCCTTAGAAAGTATTTATTTAGTCCCTACTCTGTGCTGGTAGTATGTTAGGCTTTGCCCCCTGGTACTTGTAGTTTAAGGGGGGAAATGAATGAGCAAATCAGGAATTACAGGATAGTGCAGGAAGTGCAATGCTGGAGGTAAGCGAGGGCACTGGGGGTGTGCAGAGGAGGAACCAAGAACTCAGATTGGAGAGGGAGGACTTGCTGAGAGAAGACAACGCAACTCGGTCCTGAAGGCTGTGGAGGGATCAGGCAGGTGAGGAGGTGCAGTGAAGGGTAGCCCAGGCAAAGGGTCAGCAGTCCCACTGTCCTGCTGTCCAGCAGTCCTCATCCTGATGAGAGAATGTGTCTCTGGTTGTCTGATAATGCAGGGAGAGGCTGTGTGCATGTGGTGTACATTGTGCAAGTGTGTGTATATGTGTGTGCATTCATGTGTATGCACGCATGTGTGTGTACGTGTGTGCGTGCATGTGTAATAAACCAAATGGTCTAACATGTGATCCAAGAGATGGGGAGAGGAAGAAAGAGAATGAGAGAGAGGAGGAATAAACAAAGAAATGAGGGAGGGAAGTAGAGAAGAAACAGGAAGGAGCCAGAGAGAGAGAGAGAAGTTGGTTAGAGTTGAAGGGGATGATGTGAGTCGTCATCCTTGGAAAACTCAAGGGAGAGATTCTTGACAGATGGACTCTCAGTATTTGGTCCAAGGAGCCTGGTCCTGTGCTCAGATATGAGGCAATTGGAAGAGTGTTGTCCTGCCCTCACCGAACTCACAATCTTTGAGGAAAGGAGATTACACACAAAGAATAATGCTAAGTATTGCAAATTTCAGGGCAGAAAGAGATCAAGGTGCGTGGAAACAGACAAGTCTTCTGGAAGAGGTGAGTGTCGAGAGAGCAGATCTTAGAAGGGGACGCTGCGGAGGTGGCCCAAGTCTTGCATAGGTCCGGATGGAGCGTGTCGCGTGGTGTGTGCTTGCGTGGCTGACAATGTGGATCTGGGTTCCAGGGCTCAGGATGCTGTTGCTACGAGCTGTTCTACTGCTACTAGTCCTGCCCACTCACGGCCAGGACTCCGTGACAGAAGGGCCTGGAGTTCTGCTTCCTCTGGCCAAGCAGGCCTGCACAGTTTGCTTGGCAGGCATCCCAGGGCATCCTGGCCACAATGGGACCCCAGGCCGTGATGGCAGAGATGGCACCCCTGGCGAAAAGGGTGAGAAAGGAGATCCAGGTAAGAACAAGGTTTTTGGCTTCCTCCATCGTAGACTTCTCCTGGGTAGAGGAGAGCTTCTGGAACTATCCAAAGGCATTAGCTATTGACAAAGGCTGAGACAAAGGGAGGAAGCAATTTTTTTTTTTCCTGTGACCCATAAGCAACCTAAAGTGAATTTTGGGTTGGCCTTCTGGTCATGAGAATAGGTTGTACCTGTAAAACCAGTACCCTCGACTCTGCTCTATTGACATCACGGTCCCTGTACCCTTTCCCATCCCCTCCTCACCCATCACTCTTCCCAATCTCTTCACATTCTTGTTTCCCTTCATTTCCACTTAACTCCCATTCTGCCCAGTGGCGTTTACACTCAACGCACCCTCGTAGCTCACAGTCCTGCTCCTGGGGAACACTTGGTGTAGGTAAGAAGATAAGTCTAAAGCACAAGGCTGTTAAGGATTACTACAAAAAAGTCGATTCCAAATATGCTTAACTGAATGTGGACAAATGCCCAACGTACGGAACAGAGAGAAAATGCTCTCGTTGAAGATCTGGATTAGCAATGAAGGCTTTAAGGAGGAGGCAGGGCTTGAGTCAGACCTTGGAGTATAGGTAGACAGAATAAAGGAGGGAGGGCATTCTGGACAGAGGGGATAGAAGAGCAAAAGTTAGGTTGGTTGAGTCAGCATATAAAGGGTTGGCAGGGTGGAGGGTCTATGATGGAGACCTTTAGGAAATAAGGTTGGAGATGAATTTATGGAAGCGTGCTGGGAGATGGAGCAGGAGAAGGTATAACTCACCTTTTGGGGAGCTCCCTATGGTTCCTTGCTCCGTAAGTCAGGCAGGTTGTGGGTAAGGGCCATAGGGACAGTGTTTTAGGTTAGAACTAACCTAGACAGTAGTTCTGTTCCTTATGGTCACTGAGGTCTTGTCATTCTCTAGGTCTTGTTGGTCCTAAGGGTGACAGTGGTGAAACTGGAGTAACTGGGGTTGAAGGTCCCCGAGGCTTTCCAGGAATCCCTGGCAGGAAAGGAGAACCTGGAGAAAGTGCCTATGTACACCGGTCAGCATTCAGTGTGGGATTGGAAAGCCGGGTCACTGTCCCCAATGTTCCCATTCGCTTTACCAAAATCTTCTACAATCTGCAAAACCACTATGATGGCACCACTGGAAAATTCCACTGCAACATTCCTGGGCTGTACTACTTCTCCTACCACATTACAGTCTACTTGAAGGATGTCAAGGTCAGCCTCTACAAGAAGGACAAAGCTATGCTCTTCACCTATGACCAGTACCAGGAGAAGAATGTGGACCAGGCCTCTGGCTCTGTGCTCCTCCATCTGGAAGTGGGCGACCAAGTCTGGCTCCAGGTGTATGGGGATGGGAACTCTTATGGGCTCTATGCAGATAATGTCCATGACTCTACCTTTACAGGCTTCCTTCTCTACCATGATACCGACTGATCACAACTAACTTAGAGCCTCCTCCAGGCCAAACAACCCAAAAGCGAAAGAACAGTCCATGGGTTTTCAGTTAAGAGATTAGTTTTGTTATCCGGTTGGAGAGCTCTGAACATTATTCATTCATTTACTCATTCATTCATCAAGTACCTTTTCAAAAAAAATCATATACTATATTCCCTGTCCTAAAGAAGACATGGTCCCTGGCCTCAAGAGTCTGTTATGTAGTAGCAATGAAAGGTTAATAATATTTCTGGGGGTGCTTCACATATATGGTGAGATATCAAACTACCAGAAAGTATTTGACAGTGCTATTCTGTGTCCACCTTTTTTACTTATGTTCATGCCAATCCTGGGAGGTACACAGGAAAGATATTATTCTCTTCATTTTATGCTTGGGTCCTGAGCCTGAGAGAGTGAAATGAATGCCTAAGCTCACACAGGTATTAAGTGGCAGAGTTCGAAGGCAAACCCAGGTCTGTAGACCTTTTCCCCTAGGCCCTGCCCTTTTTTTAGGAGTACATGGCCTTTTGGAAGTGTTGGTAGGGGGTCTATCACCCAGCTCACCTGAGGGCCTCCAAGTGGTCTTCATGGTAAGTTAAGCCTTTCCCCTGTAGAGGTCCCTCAGAGGTGATTCTATGACTGGGTCCCATCCCCGCTGGACCACCAATTACTCTGTACTTCTGCTTCTCTGTCTTTCTTCATGCTCTTCTCTCCAGCTCAGAAAGCTACCTTCACCTCCACATGGTGAAATCCTCCCTGTTGCTCAAAACCACCTAGTCAGGAAGCTTCTCTGATGTGAGAGCTCTCTCCTGCAAACCTTCCTCACACACTCTGCCCCTGTGCCCCTCTATGTATTAGTCTGGATTAGAATCCTGGGTATGAAAGACATCCTTCTCCCAGGCCAGGGACAACTGCCTGGAAAGGACTGTGCTTCCTTCACCTCTGAGTCCCTTTGCAGGTCCTTGATAAATGCCTCATGAAGACCAATCTCTTGAACCTCATCTCTGGCCAAGATTAACTCCAGTTCAGTCTCTTCATGTAACTAATTCGTATCTACAGAAACATTTTCATTTTAGGAACTTTCTGAATTTAAGTACCTAATCCTTGTTCCACTGGATAATTTGAATCTTTTCCACTGAGGTTTGGGATGACTGTTCTTTCCAGAATACTTAAAGAATTTTCCCTGAAGGAGGTAGCTTGAGCCTGCTATGCAAAATCCACAAAGGAATTTGGAAACCATTCTTTCCTTGAATACCAACAGGGTCTGGAAAGACCTGGGCCTTCCGAATCTATTCTTGTTCTTTAAGAATTAAAAGGAGAAGAAGGAGAAGGAGAAGGAGAAGAAGAGAAATACTATCTGAGGTGATGGACATGTGAACTAGCTTGATTGCGGTGATTATTTCACCATGTTTATCTACAGCAAACCAGTACATTGTACATCTAAATATATACAATTTTTAGTTGTCAAACATTTCTAACAAAAAATAAAGAAGTATAGGCGGTTGATGGTGGTAAATATCCTCCCAGGAGACAATAGCTTGAGTAATGCTTTTCAAAGTTTTTAGCGAAAGCAGAGTTAATAACATTCTGTATAAACAGAAATGGGAAACTTTTTTCTTTTGCTCTCAGTTTTAAGTTCTGAATTATTCCCTTTTGTGTATTGCTCATCATTAAGTGATTATTATTTCTACATACCAAACTTCATCTTTTACAGTGTTTGCACATCATCATTTTCTACAAGTAAAGATATTGTTCAGCATTAAAAGTAGAAGCACTTGAATCACATGCCTCTTGTTTTCATTTTTTGGAGAAACACATGGGGTTTAGAGAGGGTTGAAGGAATAAACTGCTTGTTGGGACTCTATGTTATGAATGACAGAATACCCAACTCTCACTTGAGAGGGGAAAAAAAAAAAAAAAAGAATTCTCTTGCATGATGGAAACTACCAGAGCAGCTGTTCTGTCATTAGGTAAGGCTTGAACCAGAGGCTCAAGGGATATCGAAGACCCTTTTTCTATCTGTCCTCCCAGCAGTGCAGGCTTAACACTCAGGCTCTATACAGTAAACTGCTAGGCTTTTCACCACAGTATCAAATAGCACTGCCAGCTCTCGAATCCTCCCACCACATCATCTGGCTAAAGGGACATCCTCTTTTCTGGTGTTCCCCGTGGAGGAGAGTGGACGTTCTCTTTTCCAGAAGCCCCATCAAGTATATCCTTGCATCTCATTGGCTCTCACTAGGTTGTATGCCCATCTTTGACCAATTACTTCAGTCAGGAGGATGGACTATACTTATTGACTAAAGTAGATTATTGCTCAAACTGGAGAAAGGGTATTTTCTCTAATGCAAAACACAGTTACCAGAAGTGGGAGAGTGGATGACGAATGTGAAAACACCTGTCCACCATGAACTCTTAGTGTTATGTTTGAGTTTTCTTAGGTTTCTCAGAAAGATATTGCTGAAGATTACTGTTGGTTTTCTCTAAAATTTCAACAAGTAGTGGACATCTGGCCGTGCTCGCAGCCCACATCTGGGTAGGGTGGGATCTTCACAGCATTGGACTAGACATGGGGTCACTCTCACTTTAGCTCTCTGGAGCAGGGCCAATTCTTTGTGGAAACAGAGAGAGCCAATCTGCACAGCCCCTCCTGAGGGGAACTGTGGCCAAGATTTTAGGATTAAGGGTCCTATGATATCTTCATGGTCCCATCATATCTTCAAATGTAATTATGCATTTCTTTATTTCTCTCCAGTTCTGCCAGCTTTTGCTTCCTGTATTCTGGAGTTCTCCTGTTAAGTGCATTCTCATTTAATATTATGTCTTCTCAGTGAGTTTATTCTTTTATCATTATATAATGTCTTTCTTTACCTCCAGTGATTTGCCCTATTCTGAAGTCTACTTTGTCTGAAAGTAATATAGGCACTCCAGCTTTCTTTTGATTACTGTTTGCATGGTATATCTTTTCCCATCGTGTCGCTTTATCTCTAACTATACAGTTGACTCTTGAACAATGCGGGGTTTCGGGGCACCAACCATCCACACAGTCAAAAATCTGTGTATAACTTTTGACTCTCCAAAAACTTGTCCACTGTAGACCAAACACCTTAATGACAACATAGTCAACTAACACGTACTTGTATATGTATCATATGCTATTTTATTCTCTTTCCTAACTTTTTTATTACCTGAATATTTCATAGTATTTTATCTTAATTTATTTATTGAATTTTTGGCTATGTCTTGGTATTTTTTAGTAGTTGCTCTAGGAATTACAATGTGTATACCTAACTTTTCACAGTATACTTAGAGTTAATATTTTACCACTTCAAATAAGATACACATGCCTTATAATCAAATAGGGTTCTGTGTCCTGGTCCCTTTATGTTGTGGTTGGTGTGTATATTACATCTATATCCATTGAAACATTACAGACAATGTTATAATTTTTGCTTTCAACAGTCCTCCATATTTTGAAGAATTTAAGAGGCCCCAAATACCCTATTTATCTAGATATTCATCATTTCTTTTGTTCTTTCTTCATTCCTAAAGTTCTTTTTCCCTCTGGTATAATTACCCCTCAACCCAAAAAACTTCCTTTGTCATTTCTCTTAGAACCATTTCTTTTCTGCAAGTGATGAATTCTCTTAGTTTTCCCTTATCTGAGAATACCTTTATTCTGCCTATATTCTTGAAGGATATTTTTGCTGGCTATAGAATTCTGAGTTGATAGTTCTTTCCTTCAGAACTTTTTATTTTTAAGTAATCTCCACACCCAACGTGGAGCTTGAACCTCAAGGTTAAGAGTTGCATGTTCTACCAACTGAGCCAGCCATGCACCCTTCCAGCACTTTTTATGATTATTTATTAATTTTTCTTCTAGCACTTTAAAGATATTCTCTCATGGTCTTCAAGACACTGAGGTTTCTGATAAGAAGTAGTAATAGCTTCCCTTATGTGTAATTTATCATCTTTTGCTTCCAGGTGCTTTTAATATGTTTTCTTTACCTTTGGTTTTCAACAGTTTGATTATGATATATCTGGGTATGGTTTTTTTTTTTTTTTTTACCTTAACCTGATGGGATTCATTGAGCTTCTTGAAACTGTAAATAGATACCTTTCACCAAATATGGAATGTTTTCTGCCATTATTTCTTCAAATACATATTCTGACTCAATCTTTCTCTTTTTCTGAGATTCCAATGACATGAATGTTAGATTGACAAGCATCTAAGGATACATTAATTTTTTTCAATCTTTTTCTCTCTGTTCTTCTTATTGTATAATTTCTCTCCCTCTCTCTTTCTTTTTTAAAGATTTTATTTATTTGACAGAGAAAGAGAAAGAGAAGAAGCAGGGAGAGCGGCAGAGGGAGAGGGAGAAGCAGGCTCCCCACCAAACAGGGAGCCTGATGTGGGGCTCGACCCCAGGACCCTGGGATCACGACCTGAGCCAAAGGCAGAGGCTGAACCAACTGAGCCACCAAGGTGCCCCTGTAAAATTTCTCTTGACCTATCTTCAGGTTTTCTTTCCTCTGTCATCTCCATTCTGCTATTGAGCACATCTGGTAGAACTGTGAATTTCAGATATTGTAACTTCTAGTTTAAAATTTTCCATTTAGCTTAAAAAATTGTTTTTCTTCCTCTGCTAAGAACTTTATCCTCTCATTTATTTCAAGAATGTTCATCTTTGCCTCATGGTTATAATGGGTGTTATAAAGTCTGTGTCTGGTAATTCCAATTGGGGTCATCTGTTGATTACCTTTTCTCCTGAGTACTGGTCAGATTTTTCTGGTTCTTTATGCATTCAGTAATTCTGAATTGTACCCAGAACATTTTGAATATTATGTTAGGAGATTCTGGGTTCTGTTAAAATCTCTAGAGAATGTTGATTTTTTTGTTTGCTTGTGTTAGCAAATAATCAGTTGGCTTAGGTCCAAACTACAAGTTGTATCTCACCTTTTGTGGGTGGTGATTCCAATGTCAGTTCAGTTTTCAAATCTTTGCTATGGTATTTGTGTCGATCTGTCACATGCACAGCTCTGCATTTAGTTTGGGTCTTTGGTAGTTTAGTTCTTGAAGCCTTTGCTACACTTCTTTGGGTCTGCCATGCACGTGTACAACTGAGATATTTTAGATATTTGTTTTTTGTATTTTGTCCAGAAGTTTTGGTTGTAATCAGTGGGAAGGAGACTGTTGCTGGCTCATTGCATCTTGGCTGGCACTGAACATCTTATGTACTGTGCTACTCCTGAAGAAGGAAAAGGAGAAGGAATTGAGAGGTAGCAGGGACCCCAAGAAGGTACGTAATCTACCCGGAAGTTGTAGAGGTCAAAGAAAATAAGTCCAATCTTGAGATAGATCCTTGTTAAAGAGAGAACATGGAAGGTACCAAAAACTCCATGACCAAGGGAGGCTGGGGCCAAGTAAGGTCTTGATTGTAACCCCAACCTCTGAATTTTACTGTGCGTGAGTGGTTGATGAGAATACATTACATGCTGTGCAGAGACTAAAGAATCAGCATGACCCCACCAACGGGGACCAAAGCAGAAATATTTACCTCCAAATTCAGAAATTTTATTCTATAGACAGCATTTTACTTAGGAATGTTTGGAAATATCCAGGTTTTTAAGAATGTTTAGAAAGAACTAGATTTTTTCCTTTAATCTTTTAGTTTTTACTCAAGTATTTTACAGTAAATAAACATGATTTTGAATAAAATTCACTATGTAAAAACCACATTTTCCCAAAAGTAAGTGAAGCAAGATCTCTTCACTTTCTCATCTATGTGTGTTTCACAATATCAGAGTAAGTGGAATTCCTGGGCCAAGATTAAGGTTAATGTGCTGCTCAGTTTGTGGTTAGGGTTAGGGCTGTGACAGGTTAAGGGTCAGTGTGTGGTAGGGGCTAGGTGTTGTGGACACCTGCTGGATGTTCTGCCATTTCTCCACTCAAGGTGGGCCACCCCCTGGCCCTTCACTTCAAGCAGTGAAGGTGGTCCCTTCTGTGGTCCATTCTGATCCCTTTCTCTTAGAGGCCATTGAATGGATAAGGGCAGGTGCTTAATCTAAGTCAGGCCAACCAGAGTGCCTCCAGGAATATAAATTAGGATGGATGCAAAACATGCAGATTCAAGACTCATAGGTGACCATCTTCTGCCATGCAGTCTAGAGAGAGAAAAGGCTCATCTTGGAGAAAGAAACAGTCAGAGAGAAACAGAACTGAAAGTCAGAAGGAGGGAGGGAGAGAGAGAGAGAGAGAATTCTAGTTCCCAGAAGCTTTTTTGGTTCCATTCCTTCTTGACACTCAGCTATATCCCTGCCCATGAGTCCCATGAGACACCAGTTCCTAGATTTTTGTACAATTTCCTCTTTTAAGCTAGCTTGAGTTGATTTCTGTTATTTGCACCCAAAGAGTACAAGGGGTCAGGAATTAGTCTGTGAATGTGCTCAGGAACCAGGCTGAGATCTAGTTAGGAAAAATACTTAGTAACAGGTTAACAGAATTAAGTCACTAGACTGGAATTTAAAATAAAACTTTTTTTCAGAAAAAAAAAGAAGTCGTTAGGCCCCATGAAATCAAACCTAGAACTCCAGTTTTATCTAGATTTATTTTATTTGCAATTAATTTCATCACTGGCAAATCTCTTGTGGGCATAGACTTTCTATTTAATCTCTGAATTTTTATAGAGATCATTTATTCATTCAACACATATTTATTATCTATTACGTGCCAGACACATAATAATTTAAAAAAAAAGAGCAATGACAATAGTATAAATA